ACAAATAAAAAAGTACACATGAGAACGTTCCTTTTAAAATGCGCTATCTTCTGGTAAAATTTTTGTCGCAATCCTTTTGGTAGTTTTTGAGAAAATTACGTTTATGTACATTGGGGTGTCCCTTATATGGGCGAATTTTTTTTTTCGAATATCGAAATACATACCCCTTACTTATTTTTAAACCACCTTGACCTACTTAAATACAAAATTGTATGTTGCTATGTCCACATTAACCTGTGCCGACAAGGTCGTGAACATTTTGAAAATTGCTGCCTTTAACCCTTTTCGCCATTGAACTAAATAAAATGCAATATTTATATTTTATAAAGATAATAATTAAAGCTGAAGTAAGAAAATAGGTATTTATTATATAAAAGAACATAAAATTACACATTAGCAAGGATATTTTATTTTAAGGTTCTCTTTTTAACAGTCTGGATATAGATTTCTATGCTCTTGCACACAGCGTAGTAAAAACTGTTTATGTTCTTTCTTTGCAATTATTAAACCATGAAAACCTTGTATCATATATAACATTTACAGCTCTTTTAGCTGCATTATTCACTGCCTTTAAAGAAAGAACCTTTCTTTTTGCCTTTAAATAGGCAATCTCTTACAACGTAGAAATAAGGTAGAAATACTTCAAGAAGTTTTCATCAATTTTTAAACGAGAAAATAATTTTCTGTTCTTGACAAACACAAAATCACTTAATGGTAAAATAAAACAGTTTAATACATATTATAAATGAATATTTATTTATGCCTCATTCTAATATGTATATTTAATGCCCTTTTGAATTGATTAAACACGCTAATATTACAAATTTTATAGGGTAATTGATTAAACAATTGCACACCCTCATACTCAAGTGCTCTGTAACTTCCAACAGCGTTACAGATCCCGACGTTTTTGTATGCAACTTTGAGGTAGTAACATCCATAGTACTGATGTAGAGAGAATCGAATTATTGGAATTGCATTGCATCGCTGTTGGTGTCGCTATTGGGAGCTTGTTGTTGTATGCATCATCTGTCGGTGGTAGTGCATCGACCAAACGTCGGGCGCACGTAATACTACAAGACGGGGGCACGTGTCGATAGATGGTGCTCTTAACATGTGTATGTATTGACAAAGGATAGGTTCCGCCTACCTAATTATTATTTACAACAGATAGCTACTATGCTATCTTACTTTTTATTTACAACTAAAGCTAAACATTTAGCTTTTCAGACAACTGCTTCTATTGAGCAGTTAGCTTTTCAGACAACTGCTTCTATTGAGCAGCTTAGCATCTTAAGAGAATGTAGTGATACTTGCAGTAACACTTCATTAAGTATTAATAATTTAAATTAGATAGTGTGACAATAGAGGCAAACTCTAGCAATAATTTAGTACAACTCAGCTCAACACAAACATGTAATATTACTAACAACAACTGTTTAAACTTGATGCATCAAAACATGCAAGGTATGTTGGGCAAAGAATTTGAATTGGAGTTGTTTTTAAAATCAAGTAAAATTGATGTCCTATGCATTACCGAACATTGGCTTAGAGAATGCCAAATCATATTTAACTTTGATCAGCACCAACTTGCAAGTTCGTTTTGCAGATTGTCGGCGATTTATGGGGGCTCTTTGATTATTGTTAATAAAAATTGTAAGTATAAAGAGGGTAATGACATCGTGTGTCTGTCTGTAGAACACTCTTTGGAAGTAGCCTGTATAGAGACTGAGAATTGCATTATTTTAAGTGTTTACAGACCACCAAGTGCATCTTACGATTTTTTTGAAGGAAAGTTGGAGGAAATTTTGTGTAAAGTTAGTTTTAAGAACAATAAGTATATTATTGTATGTGGTGACTTCAATATAAATTTATTAGAAAATACCTCCATTAGTAAAAAATTCAATCTGTTATTAAAGTCTTACAATCTTGTTAACTTGTTTCTTGAGCCCACTAGAATTACAAGCTCCACTGCTACATGTATAGATAATGTATTTACAGATGCAGAGGCAATGCAAACCTCAATTACAACTGATCTTAGCTCAGATCATTGTGGACAGTTAGTGGCGCTAAAATGTAAAGTGGTGAAACAAGTAAATAAGAGCAGTGTGTTTGTTCCACTAAATAAAAAGCGAATGGTGAGATTTAGACATAATATAGGTAAACACCTACCACCGGTAGGTACTACCGTTGATATACAATACAACAATCTAAGTGATTGTATTAATAAAGAGTTCAACACCATCTTTACCCCAAAGAAAGTCTCTCATTCGCAGTGTAAATCGTTTAGTGATTGGGCGACAGCGGGAATTTATAAAAGTAGACAACGGTTGTATGACCTTTACGCTTAAAAGTCATACAATCATAATGAAGAATTTATTCTTTATGTTCGAAATTATTCGAAATTATTTAAGAAAGTTTGTTACGCGGCCAAGTCCTTAAATATCAAAAACAAGATTAAAAATAGTACCAATAAAACTAAAATGACTTGGAAGATAATTGATAGTGAAACTGGAAGAGTCAGGGATCGCAATCAAGACATCGAACTATGTGTCAATAACACTATAATCAAATCTAACGAAGAGATTTAAAGCAGGTAGTATGTCCGACCCCAGTAACTTTAGACCAATTTCCGTACTACCTACTTGTAGTAAAATATTTGAAAAAATTATATTAAATCAACTGGTAAGTCATTTTAACGTAAACAAATTATTACATAATAATCAGTTCGGTTTTACCAAGGGTCGCTCGACAGCCGATGCCGGTGTTGAGTTATATAGATATATTGTTAAGGCTTGGGAGGAGTCGCATGACGCTTTAGGTGTTTTCTGCGACTTATCCAAAGCATTTGATTGTGTCCAACACGAGACCTTAATCGGGAAACTCCGCCACTATGGCATCAAGAATACCGCACTGAATCTTCTGACTTCCTATTTACACGGAAGAACTCAGAAGGTTGAAGTGAATGGTAAGAGGTCCTCTGGGTCGGCAGTAGATATGGGGGTACCACAGGGCTCAATTCTTGGCCCTTTCCTCTTTCTTGTTTATATAAATGATCTACCTTTCATGGTAGAGAGAAAACGTCAGATAGTTTTGTTTGCTGATGACACGTCCTTGATTTTTAAAATCAAACGACAAATAACAAATTTTGACGATGTGAACAATGCTCTGTCTTCGATTGTCCATTAGTTTAGTATGAATAACCTTCTACTTAATGCAAAAAAGACAAAATGCATTAAATTTTGTGCAAAAAATGCAAGGAGTTATGGATACTAGACCAATTATAAACGGTGAGGAATTGAATCTGGATGATACAACTGTATTTCTCGGAATCACCATGGATTTAAAACTTCAGTGGTCCCCTCATATTAACGGATTGGCAAAGAGACTTAGTTCTGCAGCCTACGCGGTTAAAAAAATTCGCTCACTAACTGATGTCGATACAGCTAGACTTGTTTATTTTAGTTACTTTCATAGCTTAATGACTTATGGCTTATTATTATGGGGTCACGCTGCTGATGTCGAAACTATTTTCATCCTGCAGAAGAGGGCTATTCGTGCAATCTATAATTTAAAATGTGGCGAATCTCTTAGAGATAAATTCAAGGAGAGGAGGGGAAGGATACTTACCTTTCCCTCGCAATATATTTATGAAAATATTATGTATGTATACAAAAATAGTGATAAGTTTACTAGAATAGAACTTACGCACAATGTTAATACACGGAACAAACGCAGGCTGCAATTTCCCCGTACTAGACTATCTAAAGTTAGTAATTCTTTTTGGGGAAAGGGATACTCTTCTTTAATAAAATCCCAGAGGCTCGTTTATCTCTGCCTTTCAATAAATTTAAGAAATGTATTAAAGAAAAGCTGTGTAAAAAGGCTTACTATAAAGTCAACGATTATCTAGTTGATAAAAGGGCCTGGGACTATTGCTAGACAGGCTACTTCTAATTAATTTGCGATATTTGTTTTAAATAAGTGTTGTTTGATGATTTGCTGTTTTAAAAGAGTACCGAGAGTTTTTTACGCCGGCTTTTTCTCTCGGCCTACACCCTCTGTCTTCTTTGCCGATGAGTAGGGATGCCTACAAATTCAAATTTAATGACGTGGAATAAGTGATACATGTATCTTATGTTCCATAATAAACATATTTAATTTTTTTTAACAGTATTCCATAGATGGGAATTTCTTGTAAGTCAAGAAAGAAAAATTATAAAACTACATGAATTTACAAAAGTTGGTAATTATTATAAGTGTGTATTATAATTAGTCCGATTAGAAACTAACGTATGCACTCCCATAATTTGTAAGACAAACAACTCTGATCCAGCAGGAATATTAATTCGAATGTTTTCGTAATTACCTATGTTTGGTGAAAGCATAATCTTAAATAAAAAATATATTGAATTTGGGCTGTCTTCGGGTGGTTAGTTATCATGCAGTTCGAAGATATAATTGTCGGAAGTAATTTAATTGTCTACTTAAGTTATTATTTCTATCAACACTCTTAAAGAAAATTATTTTAATTTTGTTTCTTACTTATGTTTGCCAATTTGTTTTATTTTTATTGCTTCTTCGTTTATCTCTAAAATAAAAATATGTATGTTACCTTTAAGTTCCAACTTAGATCCTAAATTTATAAGAAAATCAAACAAACTGTAAGAAAATGCAAAGTACATGTGTACGGTGGCGGCACTTGCAGATGCTTGTACCACTACGTAATATTAAGTTGTACGCTAAGTGAGTGAGTGAATAAATAAATAATGTATGGAGTTGGAGTCAGCTTATTCACGGAAACAATATATTATATTATGTTATATTCCTCATAATAATAGCTACGGGCCCCGCCTTGACTTTAATTTATTAAATAGACATTGGAATTTGAGTCTTTCAATCATTATCAGATATTAATTAATAGCATAATAAATGTAAGATAAAGCGCTATTATCGGGCCTATAAATAGAAACGTGCAGAGTCTCAGGCACAACATCGCCATGTACACGGGAATGCTCACAGCGCTGGTTCTGGCGGGCGTCCTTGCGCTCGCCACCACAGATAGTTATCACCCTGACGAGCCAGGGTCAGTGCGGGGTATGGTACGAATAGACGAGCTCTCTGCATCCTTCTGGCAGGAGCAGGCGCAGGCGATCGTGAAGCGTCGCGCTGGAACCAAGACGGGTCCCGCTGCGCGTAATGTCATCTTATTCCTGGGCGACGGCATGTCCGTGCCTACGCTCGCTGCAGCTCGAACGCTGCTTGGGCAACGTAACGGGTATACCGGAGAGGAGGCAGAGCTCTCCTTTGAAACCTTCCCGACGTCTGGTTTGAGCAAGGTTTGTATTCTTTTTAAATGCAGTTTTCTCTTTTTTTATTTTGTAAAAATTAAAAAAAGATAAAACTATGTGTCTGTTTCAGACGTACTGTGTAAACGCTCAAGTCGCAGACTCTGCGTGCTCAGCGACGGCATACTTATGCGGTGTGAAAGCAAACCAAGGTACCCTTGGCGTGTCGGCTTCTGTACCGCGTTCGAACTGCAGTGCGTCACTAGAGCCTGCTGCTCGACTACAATCTATCGCCGCGTGGGCTTTGGCGGATGGCCGCGATGCTGGACTTGTAACCACCACTCGGGTAACGCATGCGTCGCCAGCCGCTGCATACGCACGGGCCGCCAACCGCAACTGGGAAAATGATGCCAGTGTGCGTGCTGACGGGGCTGACCCGCAGCAATGTCCAGATATTGCAACGCAACTAATCACTGAAGACCCTGGTCGCCAGTTTAAGGTGATACTAGGAGGAGGACGACGCGAATTTTTACCAAGTCATGTTTTGGATGAAGAGGGATCAAATGGAACTAGGACCGACGGTCGCAACCTAATAGAAGAATGGCGGTCAGACAAGATTGGACGTAATGTTACACATAGCTACGTTTGGAATCGAGAGCAACTGTTAAGCGCCAATGCAACTTTGCCAGAATATCTGCTAGGTTTGTTCGAGAGCAGCCACCTGCGGTACAACATGCTCACCAATCCCACCACCGAGCCTTCTCTGGCTGAACTGACCGAAGTTGCTATACGAATGCTACAGAGAAACGAAAAGGGTTTCTTTCTATTTGTCGAAGGTGGACGCATAGACCACGCCCATCACAGCAACTACGCGGAGTTGGCACTGGATGAGACGATCGAACTCAGTGCGGCGGTGTCGCGTGCGGCTGAGTTGCTGGATGAGAGAGACTCCTTGCTCGTGGTAACGGCGGACCACGCCCACGTCATGTCCTTTAATGGTTACGCAGCACGTGGAAGCAGCGTATTGGGCACGGCGAGAGGTTCTGACCGACACGGCGTGCCGTACAAGACACTCTCCTATACCAATGGACCTGGATTTCGAGCTCACGTTGAAGGAAAACGTGTAGACATTACAAAGGAGGAAAAATACGGTGAGGCATATATTTGATACTAGTCGCCAAGTTATAATTAAATATGAGACCAAATAATCATTCAAATATTGTAACCGTTTAGGATCCCTGCAGTGGATGTCTCACGTGGATGTCCCGCTGTCGTCGGAAACGCACGGCGGCGATGACGTAGCAGTTTTCGCGCAGGGACCGCAGCACGCTTTGTTCTCGGGCCTCTACGAACAGAATGCTATTCCGCACCTCATGGCCTACGCGGCTTGCATCGGTCCAGGCGAACATGTCTGCAATAATGCTCATATTATTATACCCCTAAGCTCTCTGCTATCTTCTCTGATATTCCTAATATTGTGTAGATAAATTATAATTTAAAAAATAAACGCTCGATCGGTGAATGTAAAACTATCCTCGCGAGAAGTCGTCATTTTAATGGAAACAAATATATTTTTAATTTAACACAAAACTCACTCACTCATTAACGTTTTCGAAAATTAAGTAAAAATGTATTTGATAAAAAGAAGATTTGCAGCGTCATATAAACGAGAACATGAGCGAGTTACGAGTCTCATCTAGATTTTTATTATATTGATTTGATTTAACTGATGAAATGATAGATTAAATATAATAAAGAATGAAGATAATTATTGGTGTACTCATTAAACGTATTTTTACTTGTTGTAAATCGTACAACACGCTACTGTATCGTACATTACGCTGATGTATGTTAAGAATTTGGGTAAGTTAAAGAGTTAGTTAATAAATTCTGTCTAATTGCACTACAATTTTAACTAAAGTACTCATCTCTCTCTTTTTATCACAGGGTTAATGCAATTTGACAGAAAGAGACGAATGGGTACTCTTGTTAAAAGAGTGCAATTACACTGATTTGTTTTATGTATAGTTAGTCAATAAGTTACGGCCGCTATGTTTATGAATGCTACAGATCCCAGTTAACTTTATTTTAAAAAGTTCATTCCTTACCGCCATTCCATACCATTCTTACCAAATGCTACATTTATGACGTACTTGCGATATACACTATGTTAATTAAAGTATCATCCAACGTTTACGCAATACGACCGGTTTTAAGTGATCTTGTGAAAAACAACCATATGCATAAATTGGTTATCAAAAAGATATAATTGCTATATCAGGCCAGTGTATACATTATATATACACTGGCCTATTAGATGTCCAAAAAACCTCACCAGTTTTCATCTGTAAGTTGTCCACAGAGTCCTAAGCATCCGACTAATCTAACACCAAATTACCAGATTAGAAAAGTAGATCAATACAATAGATGACAAAATAAAGATATAAGTGAATAAGTTTTTTCAAACATAATAAAACCTTGAAATATTTCTAAATTAAACAATAATAAAATCCTTTATGAATGCAATATAAAATATGAAACCGACTCCAAAATGCTCTGAAAACTAATAAACTACAACATTTTTTATTTGTTGTCTTACTAAGAGTATGTATATTGTATGTGTGTAGTAGATATTACTGAGGCTATTTTTCGTAACTAAACCCGTTTCATTCATCTATAAATATTTGTAAATCATGAAATTATAAGTGACTTGTCGTGCAAAAACGCGACGAAGCGGCGTGAGCTAATATATTTCATGAGCCATTTTTTGTAATGTGAAAGCTATCAATCTGACTACAAAATTGTTTCTATGGGACTAATTCGGTGCAAATTTCAATATTGTGATCTGGCTTTTATTTCAAAATACAATAATACATTTTTTGCATATTTAATTCAAGTCATATTGTCGTTTGCCCGAAGATTATTATTAAGAATTTAATTATTCAGAGAACGTTAATATTTAACAATTTTTGGACTGGACTTATCTCTGATATTCAAAAGTTATCTAAAACTTATCTTAAAATGAGTCTTAACTTATCATCGTGATAATATTATGAAAAAGAGATAAAAAGTGCAAATCGTAAAGACATCTCAGCTTCCTTTGATTATGTCTGTTAGTGTATTAACTAAGACTGTTGCTAGTATTTGATCTTAAAGAAGAATCGCAATGTTGTGGAAGCCCTTTGACATTGTTTTATTGATTATTTTAATAGTAAAATGTTGCTCAGGTAAATTTAAGCACTAATATTAAGTTTCAATTATAATATTTTTCTGACGACTACTATATTTACTTTTATTATAATATCAATAATTGAAACTTCAGGGGATGAGTATCATAGTAATCAACGAGAAATATTCCGATCGCAACGCTATCTGCGTAACGAGGAAGAAAGGAACAGTGAATATTGGATAAATCAGGCTCAGGAAAGTGTGAAGAAGCATGCGGCCCGCGCTGAGGCACATCCAGGACCCTCAGCGCGTAACATAGTGTTATTCTTGGGGGATGGGATGTCAGTGCCCACCCTCACAGCCGCGCGGACGCTTCTAGGACAGCGCAACGGGCGCACAGGAGAAGAAGCAGAGCTTTCTTTTGAAACCTTTCCTACGTTAGGTTTAGCTAAGGTATTATCGTATAGAACAGGTGATGTTAATTGACATTTAAAAATATATCAATTAAGCTCTCGTTTTGCTTATTATTTTAAAAATTATATATATTTTTAAAAATTATATAGGTTCATAGTGTAATATAGGACAATAATAATATTGATATTTCATTACAGACGTATTGTGTGGATGCGCAAATTGCCGACTCGGCATGTACAGCGACATCGTATCTGTGCGGAGTGAAGACAAACCGAGGTACGATTGGCGTGACGGGTACGGTTGAACGTGGAGACTGTCCCACTTCAATTAACCCTCACAATCACGTGGAATCTATCGCTGCATGGGCGTTGGCAGAAGGTCGCGATGCCGGTATTGTCACTAGTGCACGAGTTACGCACGCATCACCAGCCGGTGCATACGCGCGAGTCGCGCAACGTGATTGGGAAAGCGATGCGGATGTACGCAAAGACGGTCATGATCCTACTGCATGTCCAGACATAGCGTACCAGCTCGTGCATCAGCATCCAGGAATCGATTTTAAGGTCACCGTTTTTCTTAAACTTCACATAACTTTTTAGGATTATGAAACTTATTTTTTTACATGTCGTCAACTTTATTTTCGCATTCTTTCAATTTTTTAGGTAATTCTCGGTGGTGGAAGACGGGAATTTCTGCCTAATAATACAGTAGACGAAGAAGGAACTTTTGGTAAACGGCTAGATGGTCGAAACCTTATTGATGAATGGCAAATGGATAAAATAGCAAAAAACGTATCAAACGCGTTTATATGGAACAGACGACAGCTGCTCAATATAAACGACCAGTTGCCAGAGTACCTTCTGGGTCTGTTTGAGGGTAGCCATCTACAGTATAATATGGAAAGAAACGCTGACACTGAGCCGACGCTCGCCGAGCTCACTGAGACCGCTATTAGATCGCTCAGCAGAAACAAAAATGGTTTCTTCTTGTTCGTTGAGGGTGGACGAATCGATCATGCTCACCACGACAACCAAGCGACTCTAGCGCTAGACGAAACGATAGAGCTCAGTGCGGCGGTAGCGCGAGCTGCCGAGCTGCTAGATGAGACTGACTCACTGCTAGTGGTGACATCAGACCATGCGCACGTTATGGCCTTCAACGGGTACACGCACCGCGGTGGAGATGTGCTGGGGCCCTCAGATTCGCTCGGGGACGATGGACTCCCCTATATGACACTGTCTTATACAAACGGACCCGGCTACCGCGCGGCAGATGCTGTGGGAAGAGTAGACGTAACTAAGGACAAAGATTTTGGTAAGGAATAAAAAAAAATTGTATTTTGATTTATGTAAAAGTTGAACTGGTTCTCTAGTAATTTGTTCTCATGGGCAGGTTCAATGCAGTGGTTGTACCCCGCCAGTGTCCCGCTATCGTCGGAGACACACGGTGGTGACGATGTTGCAGTATTTGCGAGAGGGCCACATCACGCTATGTTCTCAGGCCTGTACGAGCAGAATGTTATACCCCACCTAATGGCCTATGCGGCTTGCATCGGCCCCGGGAAACACGTCTGCGACGATTCCTAAGCTACTGCTTTAATATTCATCATTTTATTTGTTTTAAATTGAATACAAGGTTTTAGGTTAAACTTATTGTTCATTCATATTCAGTTCATCGTTTGCATGTTCTGAGATAATCAGCTTGATCTTTTTGTCAATTAGAAACAATTTATTTAAAAAGTGTTTTATTTACTTGAAATCTATAAAATGACCCATACTTACCAAAAGCCTTTTCAAAAATATAATACGAGTATAAGATAAAAAACTCGATTACTAATAATGAATGTAATTGAAAACTGAACCTGCCCTCGTATTACTACACTACCTCACAATTGCCCTATTATAAAATAATCTCACATATTTCAGGAAGTTGAACTATAGCGCACTCGGTACAAGTTAATATCAATGAACAAGTTTATTTATGTTCCAGACAGGTGTAAGGTTAACCCATTCAGAGACTGCTGTTGGTGCTCTTTAAAAAAACAATGTATATAATATTTGAAGTGAAACTTCTTTAGGCGCATGAGTGTAAATTTTTACGTAAACGTCACGAAGATGTGTAGCATTTTTGTCGAAGAAAAGGGAGAGAGCGATTGAGCCCGATTGAGAGAGAGTGAGATGGGCGAATTACCTTATAGACATTCTATTTATAAAATAAAAATTTCGTAAAGAGAATTTAAGAAATATTAGTATGTATTTTATATTTTATGCAAAATTATTTATTGAAATCTCAAATAACGAATTGTAAATTAAAATGCCACGTGTTTTTAGAAATAGATTAAATTAAATTTATAATTTGTATTAATTTTCGACACTTTTAATATTTTATTGACCATTAAATTCATTAAATTCCTTACATATCTTCCTTTTTTTTATGAACAAGAGTTAAAAATTAAGTTAAATTAGAAATTTCACTTCTGACATTGTGTACATTGTACGCACGTACTTTTTTTTATTAATGTGAACGTAATTTTGAAATTAATCCAACAGGTTTGTATTCTTCATTAATCGAAAAGAAATTAGTTCCTTGCCCTTGTATAAATGTCAAAGGAACTATCCCAGTCCACCCTCTAGGCAACGGCGTCCTGGGCCCGCGGGCGCGCGGCAGTCGGTCGCGACGACGGGTTGTGAGAGGACCCGTGACGTATCTTTACGTCGCTTTTACTTTACAACTTTTCGTTGTGCATATTTTGGTGTTCGAGTAACGATATACACACTCCATGTGCATTTATTATTTTACTTCTGAGTGACGTCTTATATACTCGTAATATGTGTGTGTAGTGTCACGTTTTGAACTTATAAACTGGCAGCTAATAGCGACAAGGTGAGCTAGTTACACGGATATTATTATATTTTGTATGCTTGTGATAGATAGACCTAGATAAACACATCGTAATCGGACATACGTTATAATTAATTGTTTTAAATATTAGATCCCTACAAAAGGCTCCCGACATTTTGATAATGCCGCTTAAAACAAACTCATTTAAAGTTTTCATCGAATACGCAGCTATTTAGCGTATTACTCGTATTAGAACAAAACAATGTTGTGTGGTTCTTCTGATACGGAGAGCTTACTATACTTATTCTATTTTTTTGTTATGGTGTTTAGATCTCTAAAATGGAAAAAAAGGTTAATTGCCTTTGGATTGCCTTCAGGATTTCATAATCTTTACCGAAGCATATTCACCATATAATTAATGAATTTCTTAAGCGCCAGGTCAAAAATATTTCAGGCCATCTTCCTCCGACGGGACTTGCAGAAGTTATTTGAATTTTAATAGTTAGATTGGCGATTTTTCTCTTGGGATAAACCTCCCGGGATTATATCTTATTAGACTGATTTCAATAGTGACGTGGCAGCGTACAGCTATATATTTGTAAGATGACAAACATACAAATAAAAGGAGAGAAAGAAGTTATACAAATTATAACCAACGTGTGGCCTCGATAATAGGTGCGGACGGGGTGCACAAACAATAATGCTTACAGTTAATTAGTTTACAGAGATACCTTTTACGATAAGATTACAAAAATGACCTTAAATTTTACAGAATAGCAAAAGAACCTAAAAAGTGATAAACAGGATCAGACAGGATAGGAAAGTCGGATAGACGATCCTAAAATCTATTATTTAATTAATAATATATTATAATAATTACTTAACATGTAATGTGGAACATGGGGTAATACATACTCATACGCATCACATCTCCTTACAAACATTGTGTAAAACAAAAAACTTGGCGATCTTCCGTTCTACGCCCTTGAATTGAGAACTGGCAGTTAATGTAAAATTAGAAGCATTTAATATATTTTTTGGGGTTCGTAAGTGCACATTGTGATACCTATGTGAATAAATGATGTTGATTTAAAAAATATCAAGATTGTTCTGGCCCTGCAGCCGATTGCACATTCTAGTCAGTTAGTGGAGCGTAGACCCCTAAATTAGAGCGCTTAGTGAAGATAAAAAAAATGTATCCGTTTCTTTGCAATGTCTCAAACATGTAGGAACAGAAATGTCAAATTAAACAAGATATGAGGTGAGTTTGGCATAGTATTGTATAAATTAATAAAGAAATGTAGCATTCAGAAGATCCCTACGACACTGAAGTAGCTTTAACTTGTAGTGCTAAAGTTCTACTTTTTCTGTGGACTTCATAGTGGGGGTTCCCACGACACTAATTTTATTTTTATTTTATTTCATTGATAAAAGCTTGCCAACGCTCGGCACACTGATACATTGGTAAAAGAACTTCAATATACAATTTTTAATGTGACAAGCACTTGTAGGCAAACATACATACACGAAGAGAAAATACAAGTACACTAGTGGACCCCACAGACGTTGTCCTGCATGATATTTAAAGCGATTTGGATATTAAGCAAATTATGAAAGTACCGACTGCAGTGCCATCTGCCGGGCTGATTTGTGAATCTAAACCATTCCCAGATCCCCTTGAACACACACAAAAAATTTCATCAAAATCGGTCCAGTCGTTTAGGAGGAGTTCAGTCACATACACACGCACACAAGAAATATATATATTAAGATAATAAACAAAACGATTAAAATTACAAAAACTAACACTACAGCATTCCAGAGTACTTCGCACAAGAACATGTGTATACAGCAATCTAGTGCTGCATTTTTTGAAAGCTTTGCACTTGCGTAAGACGAAACCCAGAGTGAATTATAAATTATGTTTATACTTGTGCACTTGGATGGTAGGAAATTAGATAAAATAGAAAAATATTTTATTAATATAAGATATTATCAAACCAAGCGCCAAGCGTAAGCCGATTTATTGTTTCGGATTACCTAACACCTACATATTATAGCAAATATACATATAAACATAATTTTTAAAGTGGATGTACCCGGTAGTACCTTTTTCGTAGGCAAGTTCCAAATCTTGTTTTGTCGTGATCATGTTGAGAGATATCTTTCCTTGTATTGACTGATATGATTGATTGCTAAGATTAATATGTTTTAGATTTTGCTAATATAATAAAAAATAGGGGTTGACCGTAAAGGGGTGAAAATTAGGGGTTTTTGTATGCTGTATCATAAAAAAATAAAAACAACAAAAAATGTCTAAAAAATAAAAATAAAATTAAAATTTTGGGGTGGACACCCCTTATCATATAGCGATTTGAAAGAAAGATAGTAGCCGATTCTCAGATTTACTGAATATGAATAAAAAATTTCATCAGAATCGGTCAAGCCGTTTCGGAGGACAATGTGACACAAGAATTTTATATAATATATAGAGATATGACAACTATGATATCTGCTACGGCATTCACTGAAATCAAATGATGTCAAGGGCGATTTTGTTCAAAATTAAATACTTGAGATGTAATAATGTACCTATTCTAGATGAGAGTTAATATCGTTTTTATAAAAATATTTTAGTATAAAAAAGGTATTGCGAGGCAATCTTTAAAGATACAGAATTATTTGACTACAATATCATGTGCGAGCTAATCGCGGTCTCTTGGTCACCATGCATTAGGAAAAGACCCAAGTATGTAGAGTGGTGTATGGAGCGCAGGGTGCAGTTGCGTATGGGACAGGATGGGGTGGCTCCTAATTGACTAGTTTCGTATAAAATTTAATTGGATCGATACGCGATCCTATTGTCGCGAGATTTCAAGTGCCGCTCGTTAAACAAGAGAGCTTTATTTGCGTCGTATCGACTTCGAGTATATTCCGTGTACTATATTATACACATTTCGTCATATAATAATAATAATAATAATAATAATAATTTATTTTTTGCAAGAATATGGTACAAATGTTAAGGTGATACAATCATAAATCGTTCGCATATTCTGCCACACACGATGGCGCGCAAATTTGTCTTAAAGTATTTCACATTATTATTCAATGTCAATTATTCTTATACTATCTAGTCTATTATACTATATACATTATATCATTAGCTTTATATCAATTACGGTGTTTCATGCAAATAATCATTTATTGAATAGTACATTTTTTCTAAAAGTAATTCACTAAGTCGCTTTTTAAAGAATCTAGACGGAAGATCTTTTAATTCTTTTGGTAATTTATTGTAGACTTTAATTGCCATACAAAAGCTGTTTTTCCGAAACAGTTCCAGATTGATTTTTGGCACAGCCAATTTCATCCCATGTCTACTTCTTACTTCAACTTCTACATTCGACTTAAAAATATGTATGTTTCTGTGCACGAATAAGGATATCTCTAAAATATAAATACATGGAAGAGATAAAATTTTGAGCTTCTTAAATAAAGGTACGCAACTATCAAGACAGTTTGCTCCACAAATTGCTCTAATACATTTCTTTTGAGCCTTAAATACCCTATTTACTTCGACTGAATTTCCCCAAATTATAATTCCATATCTAAGTATAGATGAAACATATGCATGATAAGCAGCTAATACCGTAGCATGGTTAACAGTTTCCCTTAGTCGTTTTAACACAAAAACAAAACTGTCTATTTTGTTCTGTAATTTTTCAATATGTGCCTTCCAACTACAAAATTTATCTATCGTTATACCTAAAAATACACACTCGTTCATTATGTCTAGTTTATTGCTTTTATATTGTAAGTCTAATTGTGTTTTAGAGTTATATGTCTGAAAATGGATTATGTTAGTTTTGGTCATGTTTACCTGTAGATTATTGGAATTCATCCAGTTAATGGCGTCGTCTAGAGATTTAATTAAGTTGTTTTTTAAGTCTTGTTCGTTTTTACTTTTTATTATAAGTGTAGTGTCATCAGCAAATAGTATACAGTTCTGGTGTATAGCATCTGGAAGGTCATTTATGTATGTTAGAAAAAGTAGCGGGGCCAAAATACTGCCTTGAGGTGTTCCGTACTCATTTTTCTTAAAATTGGATCTATAGGTTTTTTGCTCTAATTTACAAATCTTTGTTATCTCCACATATTGCATTCTATTTTCAAGGTAACTTTTCACCCAGTTATAAGCATTACCTCTTATTCCGTAGCAATCTAATTTTTTTATGCATATATAATGTCACAATAGCCTTTGTAACAAGGTAATCGATTATTATACATAAGTAAAGTAATTAGATTAGAAGGATATAAAAATATCATGGCCGATATATTGGACTTGATGTCGCGATAACATCTATTGAACGACTTATGCAACACAAGATTAGATACAAACGTGTTCCTTTTGCGACGGACTGATGACGGTTGCGTGTTATTGAGATGTTTCCTGGTGTGGATTAATCGACTTCGTGTTGTATTAACTATGTATTTAACAAAAATTCTTCTCTTCCCGAAAATAGTCATCTTTGCGTTAGAATTAAAAGACCAAGTTAAACTATTATGTGTTAAATTTCCTTTGGTGACAAATTTATGCTATGATGGATCGATTAGGATTCGATTTCCTTACATGTGACGTCAGACCGTATAATAATCCGATAGTGATCAAAACTGTTCAATCTGTACCTAGATATAATATTTTAGAAATATCGTAAAATTAAAAAATAAATGAAGTAGATTCATTTGTAATATTTTTTGTACAAGGTTATGTCTTTTGTTTCAGATGAGGCTTATAAGCCGCAGAGAGCTTTTGTAACGAGTGGTGTAGAGTGGAGAAGTTTAGTGTGTGGTGTATTGTGGTGTAGAGTGGGGAGTGTAGTGTGGCGAAACTAGGTGTGGGATGTGATGTGATGGTGTCTCAAAGGGGGGTGCACGATGGCGGACAACAATACGATCATCGAAGGCACCGTCAAGTTTCGCGATGGGAAAAAGGTAACCTTTCTGAATATTAAATTATTTGTAAAATATAAAAACCACTGTGATTTAAATAATATTTTATCTATAATAAGCAATATTTTCATCTGTATTTATGCAAATAATATAGAAATTCTTCTGAAGATTACATAATGAAACCTTACCTAACTCATCGAATATACTTCCAGAAAACAATTAGATTGATAAATCGATATGTCGATCTACTCGTTAGAAAAATTTCTCTCTTAGAACTTATGAGCTGTTATACATTTTTAATGTTGGTGTACGCATTTTCATGTGCTTGTTGCAGTGGAAATCCCGCTGGTGCGTAATGCGGAAACTGTCTCCAGTCGCAGGTGAGACGTCGACACGAATACTCCTCTCACCGTTCCCTTCCATTTTGACTACTTGCATTTGCAACTCTATTTACTTAGATTATGCTCTGTATTTATGATTTAATTATAACATTTTATATTAAAAATACATTTATTCATACAAATATTGATTGTAGTATCTTATTAAGGACTGGATCTAAGCTACGTAACAGTAATAAATAAAGCGAATTTGCGAATCGTTGGAGACATTAAAATTTGTTTTATTATACGGAAGGCCTTACTCACAGTAGTACCACTTAAATTTGTCAAGAAATCGGTAGTATAGTTTTTAAGAAAAATCCTCTAGCATATTTTTCATTTACTTAGCTCGTAAGTGCACTGTAAATAAACTTCTGACCAATAACGGTCATCGATATGAAGCTGTTCGAAGCTAATGCTACCGTTCAATAATCAAATATTGCGATTTATTTGTGGACGCGGTCCATCGAATGTGCACTAATTAACAACTCATTTTAAACAAATTAATAACCGAAACCGAGTAGAAACTAATATTTCATGTATTTGAGCACATAAGCGTCTGACAGTTGCTGACGATTTCAACAATATTTTTTATTAAATTGTAATTAGAATTTGTTAGATAAATATTATGTTGCTCCATAATGTTTGGTGCTTGAAGATTTTTAAGTAACTTTAAACATAGAAATATATTATCATTTTTTTAAATTCGGTTCAAAGATACTTTATTTCTCGAAGATTTACATTCACTTAGTGAAAATCATTAGAGGTTAGTAATGAACATCGTTTTGAAACTATTTAAAAATAAGCTATATAAAATAACGATATTAGTTGCTAAGAATATGTACAATATTTTTTTTACGAAAGTGCAGGTAGGTCGCATCGATGTTACAACACGCATTGTGTAAATGATACTAGTAATAATTTCTAAGACGCTCGTTCACAGATATACATAAATGGTAGAAGTATTTTTTGTTTGTTTTGTAAATACATATAACTAATTTCTTTTAAACTGGAAGGCAAAGTAATTTAAACTAGATTAATTTAAATATATTATTAACAAATAATATATCTAGTGAGTCGTTTATAAATTAGCGTAGCTTATCTATTTAAAGGAAGGGATATAAAATAATTGATTTAGACGCATGACGGTAAAGCGCACACGGCACGAGTTCACGAAAGGGGACGACGTGCGACTACAAAGCATTCCACTACGATCGTTTTCGACTCCATAAAATACGAAGAATAGAAACCGATTCCAACGATCTCCCCTACTATGTCACCCCGCCCGAACACATCACCCCTTCAAAGAACTACGTTGGCGTAAAATAATTATTTATAAATATAGACAGAGCAAAAGTATATCATTAAAGTCGTCTATATAAATGCACACATCTGCATTAATATAGACGACGTGCATATTGTGAACGATGCGAGCATGTGTGCGTGTTGCAGACTGCGTACACCTGTTGCTGTACCGCGACGCTCGCGCACTGTGGGGTGGCGCTGCCAGCAAAGCGGCACTGTCGCTGCAGCGTTACGTAGGCTGCGAGACTGGCTTCACCCTCGACAAACATTCCCATACGTTGGCACTGCTCTGTGCCGACTTTACGGCTGTGCTGGCCTTCGAGACTCGCGAGCGCCTTATGCAGTGGCAGGTGAAACTGGCGGCGCATTTAGGCGACCCGCGCAACTACCTAGTTCTGCTGGGTAGTGGTAAACCGGGGCCTGCTCGACTGCACCTCCATCGCCGCAGTTGTGCTCTTTCAGTCGGTGTACCACCTCGTTTACTCGGCGTCTGGAACATCGCACACCTTAGGTTAGTAGACTTCCTAGATTACCTTCTTACCTCAGAGATGTACTCTAACTATTACTATAAAAGTTCTTTCGTGCTTACAATTATCCTTTTTTAGGCGCTATGGTGTCGTTGATGGAAGATTCTGTTTCGAAGGCGGTTCCCACTGTGGCAAGGGGGAGGGGCTACACGTCCTAATCTCGGACCAGTCGGCAGACATTTTGAGAGACTTTGATCTTGCTTCAAGGGGACAGCTCTCACCCAAACGGAGAGCAAGTTCGTCGAAAAAAAATGACGGTAATAATGTGTTTATTTTTGTCAATGACAGATTTATTTACCACAGAGCAATACCATAGAAATTTATTTATTTTCGTTTGTAGGTTTTGAAAGTCCGAAGTCTCAAAAAGCTTTTAGAATGAATGCCCGGGTCGAGTTAAATACAATAGACAGATCACTTCCTCCGACCGACTTACGCTTGTATGAAGATCCGTGTAGCGGTGAAGAGCCTGGAACTATATCTCCATACTGGCCCTTCACTGAAAGGCACTTTGATGACATGGGGCTAGGAGACACTTCCTCGGTCAACGATATGACGGACGGTATCGATCCCGCTCCTTGGAGTGCCAACGGACATGTAATGTTGGAGAGATGTATGAGCTGTATTTCAAAACTCGGCGCTCTTTCAAGATCTTCAACTGCTGCATTGACTCCTGGCGCAAAACACTTTAATCCCGCTTGGACGATGGAAGAAGTAGATGAATCAAACAAAAAAGACGTTCCTTGTGAGAAGGTTAGGGCTCTAGAATCCTTAGTGAATCCTCAAGATGAAAATATATGTCGTTGTGGAGTGGAACAGATTCCAGACCGACCTCCAAAACCCACGAAACTAGACTTAAAATTGACACGAAAACCACCGATGCCACTGCCCGTGAGATCTTTTAGTCACGCACAATTATCATCAATTCAAGAGAACTCTTTATCTAGTATAGGACCATATGAAAATTATGATGTCCCAAAAATACATTCAGCAGAGGTAATTGTTTAATCTATTGGCCGACAGAAGTTCGTTAAGTATGGTCCTTATGTTTTAAAACCGTATCAAACTTCTTCCAAAATAAGCTAAGGGTCGAACCTAGGACCAATGCTATTATTTATTTTGATTTTATAAAACTACTCAGAGAAAATGTTTAGTAATGTTAATATGTTTGAAACATTAGGTGATGACATTTTAAAAAAGTAAGCAAGGGGACTTGGGTATCATCTTTGTCCCGAATCTTTAATTCCGTAAACATTCATTTTTTTATACAAGTATTGCATTTTTTGAAGTAGTCAGGTCAGACAGTCAGGCTATAATATAACATTATATTCACAGTCGATACGTTTTAAGAATTGCGTGTTATCAAACACTAAAATATTTATATTTTCAGGTCGAAGGTGAATATTATGATACACCTAAAAGGCTTAAAGAATGTTTAAATAACGAGTTATTTAAAATGACAAAAAGTTCTACAATGAATACAATAGTAATGAAAAAGTCATGCGGCTGTTTACTGAAATTTGGGAAAAAAACAAAACAACCAACTGTGATAGACTCAGACGAAACGTTTCAACAGTCGAGCTGCCCCTGTCAAAAAGTTACAGATTGGGCCAACAACTGGATTAAGCTACCCTACTGCAACAAGACTCCCGAGAACCCAGGAAACTTAGTATCTTTTAAAGAAACAGTAAAACCTACCATTATTGACAAAAATGCATTGTACGCCACGATAGATCTCTCTCAAAAGACAAGAAGAAAATCGCTTCAACATGAATATTGTATCCCAAATAACATCGAAAAATCCAAGAGTTTTGAATATACTGAAATCGACGATGGGCCACTTGCTAACTATGAGAATTTGAATTTTGCTCTATCTTTAGAACATTACGAAAACGCTAAAGAACTTCTAAAGAAAGCCGGTGTGACTCAACGTGAACTTGACGCATTGAGCGCTAATCTTAATCGAACAGGCACCGTTAGACCCAAAGAACGAACTAACGAAGATGAAATTATGTGTACGAAGTGCGGAAATCCTCAAGAAAAAGAGAAACGTAACAAAGAGACTTCGCACGATGAATATTTGATGATGGAGCCTAATACCACTGACAGTAACCAGTTCGATCATGAAAAACCATTGCCATCCGGGTACACCCCGATGTCGCCCATAAGTGGTTTTACTTTTCACACTTTAAAGCATCCTGCAAAGAACCCAATCAGTCGATTGCTGGATGAAAAGTCCGCTAGTAACCCCACTCTCTGTGGTTCAGAGGAGACCAGGGCCCCGACTGAAGACAGCGAACGAGTACAGCTTAGAGCGGTCAGAGAGCGTACCGATTCCCGCAAGCGCTCCAGTTCCGCAGACTCCTCTCGTTTCCTTGAGGACGTTAAAGAGTTCGAAGGTAGCCGCGGGTCAACTTCTTCCATTGAAACGCTGCGGGACATCGGTGCAGGTGTTACACCATGCGAATGCGCCGCAAAGCACTCGGATGCGGATAGTTCGGAGGCTTCCAAGACTAAGGGTACGGTGATTCCATCTGGTAGCAACAGGGATTCGTCTAGCTCCAACGATTCCGGGGTCTCATCATGGTCGCTCCGCGGTGATGCCTGTACGGCGGGTGATTTTGAACTTCCAGCAACAACGGCGGCAGCACGACGTCGGTACCGCTCGGCACGGAGAGCGCATGCTCCACCCCACGCGGCCCCTCGCCGCTCGCGCTCCAGCAGCGGGGTGCGCAACTCACCGCCACCGTCGCACAAATGCTGCTCCGCTGAGGCCGAAGTGCCAGTTCTTACTAATAAGCCACTAAGAGGTACAATATCACTAATTCAATGTCGTTTTAAATTTCTGAAGTTGGCCTGTAAGTGGTAAATGTGTTTGCAGGCGTAGCGGTGACAGACAGCCGCAGTACGTCCAGTGGCACCTCAGACATGTCAGACTACATCGAAACCCTCTCAATTTGCTCTTCCCACTCGTCTTCCGACACGCCCGTTACCATGAGGTACTTTGTATTCATTGCATCACTACTACTACCACTAGTGGCTCACACGGCACAATTTAACTTATTCTGTGTGTGCAGGGTGGTCCGGCATACAACAAGTACGCTGCGGCCGCGTTCGGGCAAAGAGTATAGCCCGCTGGCTGCGGGCTTGAGGGCCGCCAACCAACCCTACCGACACTTACCCTGAAACATTCGCAACTGTCTTTCTATTTCTGTTCATGAATTTTCAAGACACATAATTTAAATGCTATTCGCTTAAAAACATAATCTTTCGAAAAAAATGTAATTGCAAGGAACAAAGCATTAAAAACACGATTTTGGTTCGAGATACTTGTAAATACTAGTTTAAGCTCAAGCTGATACTTAATTTAAACTTTGATTTTTTTCTTTGGTTTAATACGTACACAAATCTAAAATGGATTTCATGTCATGCCATTTTAACTCTACATAGTACTATATTATTGATGCCATAAAACTTTCTAGTCATATTAATATATTTTAAATTCAATTATTTTTAATGAGATTATATAATTGAATATATTATAAAACAACCTTCATTCCTTTTGTTAGTATATTATTTTGGTAGAGAAGGTCCGTCCATTCTCGGTTTGCTGTCTCCGCTAGGACTCAATTATATCGTATTATCATGTAATTAATATATCATATAACACGATAACCTAATACCATGTAATATTTCATTATCATTCAGCCGCGGTGCACGCGCCGCTAATCAGCTCGAACATACATACTCGTAATCTGAACTTAACTAATCTAGTATATTATCGGCTACGAGTCGACGATCTGTTACATAGGATAAGGATAAGAAACTTTTTTTATTGTATAAACTTATATAAACTTGTACTCTAACTTTTATCAAAGTCGAAAACGTTTTATAAATTACTGTTAATAAAGAAAACAAACGAATTATAGAACAGGTACTGTTTACATAACTATCCAGTCGTCGGATCGATTTCACCAATTTCCAATTATCTTACATGGATTGCTTTCTAGTCATTTGTAAAAGTATTATACGTACATACATATTTTTAAAACGAACGGGTCGCACATTGCGGGCGGTCAGAGGTCAGAAGGCACCCGCAATGCAACGGTGTACCGTGTTTAGTGTACGCTCGCCGGTAGGCAACTGTTTACAACGATGCTCGTCTCTTGTTATAATGAAATTTTGATATTAAGAGTTAATTTATTGTGAATAATGCATTTTCAAGTCTGAATGTATGTGTAGTTGAAGTCGAGTCTCGTCTCGCTCTGCGGCCGCCTTCGCGTCAGTGCCTAACGATTCGGCGGTGAAGCGAACGTGTGATTCTGATGAAAAGGTGGCCGCGTTGATTTCGCGGCTCGATGCAGTTCTTTTTAAGCTACCTTGTTAAGGTTTACAAATCGTTCGACAACTTTCAAGTCTCGACTGCAACGAGCCCGGAGTCAGTGTAACTATAGCAATAAGCGGTGCAACAAAAGGTAATCGCGTGTATAGTATACAATGCCGTAAAATAACTACTATCAATGAATAGTGATACCGTCGAATGACATTTCGCGGCGGTTGTTTAGATTTACGCTAGAATGAATTTATAACTAAATAATGTTAACTCGAATTTCTGAATAAAAAAATGAACTGAATTGCGGTTTTATTATCCCATCAATTGAAGAAAAACAGGTATTCTATTGACCTATTTTGATAAGAAAATAAATAAAACTAGCTTTATATCTTTTTTCAAACATTATATCTATTAATTCCATTTATTTGTTTGAAACATAAGAAAACCTTGAGATATTTCTAAATTAAACAATAATAAAAAACCTTTATAACAAAAATGTAACCCACTCCGAAATGATCTGAAAACTGCTCAATAACAATATTTGTATTTATTGTCTTATTAAGAGAATGAAAGTCCTTCAGACTAAATCTTAACCCAATGCATTCATCTATAAAGATTAATAAACCATCGACTTACAAGTGACTTGACATGTCTCACGACTCAGCGGCGCGAGTTTTATATTTTCATAAGTTATTTCAGATAATATGATAAAAGTGATAGATTTGTGATTTCAAAAAGGAAAAGAAGTAGACAAATAAAGAATTTAAACAATCTATATTTAAATAAATATTATGAAGGCGTAAAACTCGTGCGGTTGCAGTGTAATTCTCCGAACCTATTTTGAACAATAATGTTTAGCCTTTTTATTAATAAAAAACAAGTCCTCTGCCGAAACAAATTTCGTGTCACTTAATTTGAAACCACTCGGTAATAGTATATAATAGTAGTGTTTATATGTTAAATATATAATCGGTTCATCGATCGATCAAAGTAGTCTCGTGGTCATGTAAAACTATATCTGTTCATCGGACGTAGATAAGATTATTATTTTATATTGATACAATGGTTAAAGCAATTCTGAAGATATTCATTTGACTACCTCAAAATGTGACGTGCATTGCACTTAAGGGGAGGCCTGGAACGATGACAGTCAGCGGGACATTGATACTCTGCAGCGAACGGAGCCGTCGTATGAAACGGAAACGCGGTCGGATGCACATAAAATGATAAAATGTTATTGGTGTGGCTGTCTGCGAGCTCCCGACCGGACGTGACACACTGCCGGAAGTGACGGACATCACTCATCCTGACTGCAGTAATAATATACTGCCTACGACGTATACACCTCGCAAATCCATGGGCATTATTAGCACTTTATTCTATTCTATTGTAAAACAAATCATTTAAATTTTTTTTAAATTATAATAGTAAGAGGGTATACCTTATTTGTTTTGTTAGTTTAAGATTCTTGGATAGAAACGCCTTTATATCCCTTTAACCGCTTGTAATTTATTTAGGTAATACACTTTTGATCTGAATTTGAGGGGGATTTGCTGTTGATAACCCTACTTTAAAGAAAAATGCTTTTTACCGGATTAAAGTTATGTTTATTATTAGAAATTTACAACTATTTGACATAATTTTAAATTTATCCGACGTTTCGCGTGCTTTACAGCGTGCGTGGTCACGGTGACCATTTATAATAATAAACATAACTTTAATCCGGTAAAAAGCGTTTTTCTTTAAATGTGTAAAGGTTATGTTAATCAAAGACAACCCTACTTTAACTCGATTTTATACTTTCCACTTTCTTATACCATTTATTATTTTAGCTATAACAATAATTAATCAATTTATTATTTTTACATCAAACAGGTTCAAATAATCCATTAGGAACAAATAGAAATTTAGGCAAGATTCCTTTTCACCATATGTTCAATAAAATTTGATTAGTTTAGCGAGAATGATACGTAATAAAATGTGCATTGACAGCTCTGCCGGTGGTCTCTCGTCAGTGTCGGTTGTTTTGTTTTATGAGGAGATACAAGACATGTATTAACAGGCATATGGATGTTCACTGACACATTCCACCAACTGATTGGGAATAGATTTTTGTAACGCACACGAAGTTAAAACGTATTTTTTAAGTCTTTGCGATTTTTATAAAAGCTGCATCGAGTACCGTCACGTATATTTCTGCACGTTAATTCTTAAGCTGCTCTTCTTAAAATCATCTTTAAATGTTTTATTTGCTATTTAGCTTAGCTATTAAATTCAAGAAAAAGGGACAAAGCCTTTTTAATGAAATTCTGTTAAATAGAATTGTTTTGTTTCTGACATTTACAACTGATTATATATCTTATTTCTTATTCTACTCGCTGCAAAAGACGTGAGCCAGTGAGCCAATAACATTTGTACAAGGGGTATTCTGATCACCTCACGAAGATTGCCCTTTCAAACAATATGTGATAAATTTAAAGCCAACGCAATAACGCATCCCCTGCGATAGTGGAGTTACTTGGCCGCAGCAGTGACGCGGCGTTTCGGATCCATGCCGGTAATGAGGCTCAAAGGAGCTCGCTCATTACCGGGAAATGTCGGATTTGTTGAAAATCCGTCCCGCGCTTACCCTCGTCTTGAATTTTTTAAATAATTCAGCTGCCACGATTTTTGTTTGCATTTCAAAAGCATTACGTAACTGTCTCGACCTTTTAAATTCGCGGTTCCGTTTTTTGAAACCCTTTTTAATCACTTTAGAGTTTAGAGTGCCTGCCTGCAAAAATTTTCGTTATACAAGCAGATAGATTCCAATCAAAGATTCGATTCCAACCTATGGGCCGATTTTGTAACTGTATCTCCAGCTTTCTGGCCGATCGGAGCATCAAGGTCGTCGTTGCTAGAGCACGTTCCGACTTCCACCCCGTGAATGCTGGGGTCCCACAAGGCTGTGTACTATCCCCGACAGTTTTTCTTATTCATATTAGCAACATTATGGATATAGCGGATGATAGCATTGGGGTTACTCTTTACATGTAAGTATGAATGTAGGTATTTCTCGCGTAGTTGTCGATCAGTACTGGAACAAACTGGTGTCTGAAATCGAACTCTGTTACGCCTCGGGTCCGTCGGTCGGTAAATCCGTTTTCCGCTAAAAAACACCCTTTGTCGCTGCTTCTCTCTTCGAAGAGACTCTACTCAAAGCCACAGCCATCAACGGAATACTGGGCGTTGACATATCGAACGATGTTCAGTTTTACGGTCATTTGAAAGTTAAACTAAATTAGCCTATAAGGAAGACATTTTTACACTGAAGCGCCTAAACCCGAGGTAAAATTTCCACGATTAGTAAATTTAAAGTAGGTTTGTCACGGTACTTAAAACTTAAATGATTATAATATCAATTAATTATTAATTATTAGTGGGTAGACTTTATACATTATAATATTGCGATTATCATGAACCAGCATGACGCTTCTGAGTTGACGGAAACCAAAATGAAACATACTAGGGCTAGTTAATCCACAACAAAAGCCTTTGATCTGTTCCTTCGCGTCTGCGATTTACGGCGAGAGCCCGTCTTTATCTCGCAACGACCAACACTTTTGCTGAGTTTTACTTTTGTTCTCGCGTGCCTGACCGTACCGACCTTCCGATGCTATAGGGCTTTTCATTACGGGCTGTTATTAAATTTTCTTATTAATTCGTTATTTTTTTATAAATTTCAATAACATTAAAAGTTTTAACACCAAAACTCTAGCAGCCTAAATATATTATTTTAATACACACTACACAACAAAACTGATTTAAAAGTGTTTACATCTTACACTTACTCTACTTTACTCTGGGTGTAAGT